ATCTTGATTGAGCTCGTCAACATCATCATTCCGGGCTGAGAGAATGGTGCGCTCCAGAAAGTATTTATCGCGGTCATGGATTGCAGGTATGGTTGAGATGCCGGGATAGATTGTGTCAATCATAGATTGAACATTATTGTTTGGAAGTTTCATAACGGCTGGCAGCTCAATATTTTGGACAGCATCAGTATGCTTCCCATGTCCAACATCCAAAAGCCATTGTGCAAAGTCTTTGTCCTCCTGCCTGGCATTGGGTCCACCCAGTCGCATGTTTTGAGTCAACCGGAGTAATTTGACTTTTGGCCAGAGATATGAGCGTTGAAGACAGAGTCCGACAATCTGCTCCCTGCCACCCTTGATAACAACAGACAGGATTTGCTGAAAGTCGCCCCCATAGACAACAGTAACTCCACCGTATGGACGTGCATCATTCCGGATATCCTGCATTGTTTTATCTACGGCTTCCTGTGCACGCCGATCTTGCATGGGAACCTCGTCCCAGATGATAAGGCCTACTTTTTGAAGAAGCTCTGCCAACATGGTGCCCTTTTTTATGCTGCATAGAATGCCATCCCAGAGTTTGATGGGAATCTTAAATGTAGAGTGGGAAGTTCTACCACCGAGGAGTAGCAAAGCGGCAATCCCGGATGAAGCCACACAGAGCACAATAATACCCTCTGCTCGCAAAGCGTAACATAGAGTGTTATACACATGTGTTTTTCCGGTTCCGCCAGGTCCATTCAAAAAGAATAACTTTGGGTCATGGTTCATAACGGAAGCCATAATCTCATCAAAGGCTGCGCGCTGCTCAACATTTAGCCCATCAATACGGGGTTGGGCCAAAGCACGCTGCTCATCACGGTCATATGCAAGCTGTTCAGCAATGAGACGATTTTGTTCCAGCTGCGCCCAATCTTCCACTGGTTCAGGCATAGGGGGAAAATCTGCCAAGGTTCTTGCAGATCCACGAAGAATGCCATCGAGAAGGTAAAGACCATAATCATAGATCTGATTTTCTGAAGGATTGGGAATTCCTTTGTGTATCAGTTTGTGACGCACATCATCACAAATATTCTCTTTGAAACGATCCCATAATGCTAATGGATCATTCAGGGGCCAGTTCTCCTTCAGAATTGTTGCAAACAGTTGCCGAAGTTGATGACCGGTTTGCATAGCAGCAGCTTCCTCAAGACACAATTCCCATTCTTTGTCATCTTCCAAGAGGCCATGTGCAAGGCAAGCTGCTCGGAAAGTAGGGTGGACAACATCATCCAGTGTACGAAGACCCTCAAAAGATGTTGCACCCTTCACAACTGTAAGAAGAGTACGGAGGTAGAATCGTTCGCCCGAAGCTGGTCCAGCGAAGTACATCCGTCCAATTGCAAACCCTTGCTTCCTGGGCTTCCATTCAGTCTTCCGCTTTATCCAGACAAAATGCTGCGGGAACTCCTGATACAATAGTGTACGGGCTTTGGGAAGATCTTTCTCATTGGCCTTGAAATATGCAGTAAGTGTCGTCTGTTTTCTGGATGCGCGATCAAGAACATCTTGCGGATCTTCATCCTCTTCAAAAACAACCCCTTGCTCATCTGGCAGATGGAGCTGGAGACGCACTACAGTTGGCAGTTCCTGATGCATTTCATATCGCAAGAGTCTCCAGGTAGCCTCAGGAGCAGATATGTAACGGCTGTCGAGATGAAGCTTAATCTCATCATTCTGCTGATCTAGTGTTAGAGTGCCCCGATCATGGCCTTTGAAAACATATTTGTGGATGTACTTGGTTGCTTTGATTGAGATGCAGCATTCTAAGTTTATATGACACTGGTATTCCAAGATCAACCTGAAGTCAAGATGAGATCAATAGGTCACAATATTCTAGAAATACTAAATACCTGGGGGAATGAGGAACAATCCATCGGTTGTCAACTTTGACACCCTTTGAATTTATGAAGTGCCGACCATTGTCAGGGCGTGCATATAAGGTGTAGCCATCATGGGCAAGTTGTGTCTGCTCCTGAAAAGCTTTTGGATAGCCCTTGGAGCACTTTCCGTCCTTCATGCATGGTGCATTGGGGTTGTGCATACCACATGGGTTGTGAACCATGAGTTTTGTGACCAATTCCCACAGTTTCGGAAATTTTTCTTGGTCTGGAAGCTGAGCTGAGATCATACGATCAATGTCCTCCGCGTTTTTGACCCGAGCATGTGGCTTGACAAATATTAGCTCATGTCCATGCGGGAGACCACGCTTTTGAAACTCAATGGTGTATACCAAGCCGATGAATTCTCCAAAGGCACCATTTTTGATAGCTTTGAGCAAAATCCGTATTTTTTCTCGGAAGACTCGTGCAACCAAATCAGGACGGTCAGCAGCGGTCTGGCCTGGAAGCAGCTCGTCCTTTACTTCCGGACAGTTTGCATCCGCAGTAATAGTCAAAAAGAAATCCGGCTTTCCAGCAAATCGTGCAATAGCAAGTGAGTCCTGATATAGCTGAAACATGAACCGGGAGCCCCCAATGTAGGATGATGGGAGAATGAACCTCTGACCCATGTTCCCCAGTATTGCTTGGGCATCGTTGCCAATGGCATCTGCCAAGCCTTTGTAAAGATCCACTCTGAGCTTATCTTGATTTCTTCTTAGCCAAAATAGCCTGGTTTGATCTGTGGTGGCCCATGCATCCACAATCCACTGCTGAAATAAAGCTCCTGCTCGAAAAATATGCAAAGAATCTGTGGCTCGTTGATGAAGTCGATAGGCATAGTACTGCAAAATTGACATGAACTCTTGCTTTTTCCGATTTGCATTCTCGTCTCCGGCATTGCGGTCCTCGTCTTCCTCCTCATCTTCCTCTTCCTCGTCTATCAAATTGAGAGGGATTTTTGAGTGCCAGCCGTTCTCTCCGTGAGGGAATAGTAGTACATAAACCATAGGCTGATATGAGGCACTGGTTTCATAGATTCGCTTCAAAGGATAAGCACCATTCCTGTAATGCACAATAAGATCCCTATGTACAGTTTCTCTTGAGCCATCCCCAGGCAAGATCACAGCCACTTCATCAACAGTAGGTGCATTGTAGCGACGGGGATCAGTCCCTGCTTCACAACGAATCACAGCATAGATCTCTGAAGGAACATTTGGATGTAGAGCTTCCTGTGCCCGCATGCGTTCATGAGCAGTCTTAAAAACCTGGACATACGCATTATTTTCACGAAGCACATGGTCAAGAATTCCCATGACAGCATTATTCAGTCCCGATGTATTGTTGTTTCCCTGGTTCCGGCGTAGACGGGCACGGTTTGCCTCATCCGTAGAGTAGAAGTAGAGTTGAGCATATGCTGGTGTGGCTCCTGGCTGTGGAAGAAGAGCACCCACGTGGTGGTACAGAGCTCCCTGAATCTTGAAAACATAGGGACCTCCCCCATCCAAAACAGATCTGTCAACTTTGACACCCAGAGATGCTAGTGCAAATGCAGCATTATAGCTTCGGATGTTCTTTTTGAAATCCGGAGAGTAGACACTTGTCCCATCAAAAAGTTCGAGCAAATCACGGGGTGGAGCACGTACAGCTGGTAGATCAACCTTTCCGTTAAGACAGCATGTTCCAAACTGAGGATTACGAAGAGAAGATTTTGAGAGTCTCTCTGCTTCCCAATGAAGAGCCCCGCACTCAGGACAGACCAAATTCATGCGGCCCAGGGTAATCCGCTTGACATGAGCCTCAATTACGGGCTTGGCATAGTGCGGTAAATTTGCAGCAGCTACAAAATTAGGAAATTCAGGCTGTGGAGCGTTATTCGGTTGGTGGCCTTGATTATTTTGCTGAGCTATATGAGGTGGAGGGAGAGCAATCTGAGCTGCGACAGGGGGTGCTGGATTGTTAGGTTGGATTGGAGGCTGGACAGCTGCAGCACGTCTCCCTCGACGTCTCTCTGGTTCAATTGGTTGAAATTCCCGACGCACATTCAACTCTGCGATTCGACGTTCAAGAACTTCTCTAGGCTGCTGCAGAATGGGCATATAAGGGGCATTGGCAGGTCCGGGTACATGCTGTGGCTGACCCAGCGGTGCATTTGATGGCCCAGGGACAGCATTCACATTGTGACGACGTGGAGCCGCAGGATTGGGATTGTAGGGAGCTGGGTTGAACTGTAAAGGAACCAATTGTGCAATACGCTCTTGTAGAGCAGCTCGTGTATTTGGTGTCAACCTTTGGCCCGCAGTAATTTGCTGCTGTAAGGCAATAGGCCCTCCACCAAAGATATCTGCTGGAGCCTGCTGCAAAGGAGGAGGAGGTTGGGGTTGAGCTCTAGGAAGAGGTTGAGGCCCATTGGCTATGCGGGGTAACCGATGGTGTTGGGGACTGTCAAGAACTCGGCTTTCACGCTCCTGTCTTTGAGATGCAATCCGAGCACGTTGAGGAGTATTGGGAGGGGTTTGATCCCTGTGGAAATAGATTTGTGCCGAAAGGCAGTAGAGAAAATAAGCACTTACATCTGTACTAAATGCTGAAATTGGGTCATAAAATTGTGGCAGGAGTAAAATAGTGACCACACGTACGAAAGGACTTGGAGATTGGTGTGAAACCGTGAGAAAGTAAATGAAACACAGAAGAGCTGAACAGAGGAATTAGAAAATGCAAATGAGTGTAGAATGTGAAGCACCTGCAGTCAGGAAGGATGTGGTGGGAAGAAGGAAAGAGAATGGAGGCTATCGATCCATTGCCTCGAGGATAAGTCGAGGTTGCCTTGCAAAATGATTGTCGACGGGAGTCGGTCCGACTGTTTCGGTCCGAATGTTGTGCCGCTGCGCGGCGTGAAGCGTGAGAACCGGGGCAACATCTCGACATCCGGCAGCGACATCTGCGCAACAGCCCGTGACTTAGTCAGGTGATTTATCAAAAAAGCTGTGCTTCCCTCTTTTTAAGTATAGGACGTGGCATTGTTGCGCGCAGCCGCGCGCAGGGTCAGGAGGCGCGCTATCCACAGAGGGTTCCAAAAACTTCCCGCTAGCCGATTTGAACGACTGACCTCGTCACAGCGTACTAGTGACGCGCTCTACCAACTGAGCTAAGAGGGAATTGTTAGGGAGTCCGCCATTGCTAGCTATAGTCTGAAGAGTTAGGGCGATGGCCAAATAAAATCACGGTAAGTACCCGAATCCACCGTCAATTGGCGGTCAACTCTTAGAACTCAAAAGGCACCACAGTAACTTCATTCACAGCGCCTACCCACAACGATCCAATCCTCGTTCACCCAGTCAACGTTGGACTCGGACGCAGACCGCTGAGTCGCTGCTTTACAGCCTTTACTGTGCTGGTGCTTCTTGGGTGCTTCCTACTTCGAATTCACGGCACTTGGTGGCATTGGGTTTAATTTGGGATTTGCCAGCTGGCCAGTCAGGCACTGCTCCCTCCGACTCTATTCACCGGCTCACGCTCAGCGTCAGTTCCATACGATCTCGCACACTTTCTGCGATCATCCTAATGTCCGACATCGAAGAGCTCCAGGCGCGCATTGCCAAACTCTCGACTGATATCGACCTGCAGACAGAGATCCTGCGAGAGCTGGTCCAGCCCAAGAGCGCTGCCTAATATCAACTCAACGCCATTCGCGATCCGGCAGCGCGCTTGCCCGTCGAGCTATGGTCGGCGATCTTTCTTCACTGCCTTCCCCAACAAAGAAAACCCGATACGTGCACTGCTCCCATGCTTCTACTGAGAGTGTGCAATGCGTGGACTGGCATCGCGCTATCTACACCGGCTTTGTGGTTGACGATCTATCTAGATTTCCCGGGCACCGACATATTGGAACTCTGGCTTCAGCGGAGTCACAGCTTATCCGTCCATATCCATCGAGCCTTGAACAGCGTTGTTGCCACCACTCTCTCTCAGCATGCAGAACGGCTCCAAAACCTCAGAATAGACGAAGACATTATCGACTCCAGCGTAGTGACCAATCTGGGACCGTTCCCCTGCCTTCGAACACTGACCGTCCAGGGGTTGCCAAACAGGCACAACGGGTACCATTGTTTCAGCGCCGGCCTTTTGCGTATGGCCCCGAACCTTGCGGAATGCACCTGCCATCTTGTGTCCTATTACGACCCGCACTATGACGGGAAAATCATCATCTTCCGTAATCTTCGTTGCTTGAAGTTCGGGGGAAATATCGATCGTTTGTACAGCGACGCTGGTATTCTTCGATATCTCCACCTACCTCGCCTGGAGACGCTCTTCTTTGCGCTATCTAGAACCCACAACACTGTCCTTTCAACATTTTTGCAGCGCTGCTCCCCGCCGCTCCAAACATTGGTCATAGGCAACGCGTGCAGCCTCAGCTTTACCGAACTGAATGAATGTCTTCGCCTTGTACCTTCCCTCATAAATCTCGAGTTGTCCAGCTCCTGCACAGACGACATCCTGTCTGCATTGGCGGACTCCCCATCCCAGTTCCTTCCAAATCTTCGGCGCCTGCGAATCCAAATGCAGCAAGACCAGATCCTTTCGGAGGACTCTTATCAAAGAGTTCTGTGCACACTCTCAGTTCGAAGTCCCCAAACTCGTTTGCTTTACTCTCGTGAGTAAACAGGAGGCCGTTGAGCCCAGTTCCGATACCCGTGCTGGACTGCGACTACTGATGGCAGCCGGGATGGACATCCGATGGAGATTTCCATTGGAACAGCAGAAAGCACTTTGGATTTAGCTCAATGTCTCGATATCCGAGCCGCGTCTTTACTATGGTTATTGTCCCGTCATCTTCACGCTACGTCGTCATATTCTTAGTCGTACAGTTTATCGAGATCAAACTATGAAGGCACGCTTCGCGCCCACCAATACGCCGCCTTCCTCTTCCTCATTCAAACGCGCCTCGACCGCCGGAGAGATGGGAGCACGCTTCATATCCGCCCAGTCTGGGTTGGGGTAGGAGTCGTCCCCTTCCTTGTCCGCATTACGCTCCACGGCCACTCGCGCGACCATCCCTGCGAAATGTCCAGTCAATGCTCGTTCGACGAGATTCAGTTGATTTATCACCATCAGCCCAGTCCGGGTTAGGGTAGGAATCGTCCCCTTCTTTATCCGCGTTACGCTCCACGGCCGCGCGCTCGACCATCCCTGCAAAATATCGAGAGTCAATACTCATTCAACGAGATACAGTTGATTCAATACCATCAACCCAGTCCGGGTTGGGGTAGGAGTCGTCCCCTTCTTTATCCGCATTACGCTGGACTACCGCTGGAAATCCCGAGTCAGAAATTAAACAACATCAAGAGAACGGTGCGAGGGAACATACCTCGAGACACGGTAGGCCCAATGTTCACGAGGCACAGAACCAAAGCACCAAGAATGGTAGCAAAGCGCATGATGATGTTTCTTGGATGTGTCTTGTTCAGACGAAAATACTGCTCTCCTCTTATAGAGTTCTTGCGATTAGCATAACAAATGGGCCAATCTGCGCGCGCACTTCAACCTTCCAATTATGGAGTCAGAAATCAAACCCTACAGACGGCGTTCTGCTCCGGTGGTTACAGTAATGTTGGGCCTGGCACACTAGGAGATTTGTTCAGTGCCCGAGAGTCGAAGACGATTCGAGACCTGTGCCGCACGAGCTGCAGCAAACAGCTTAGTTCTATGATCTCCTCGGGGCACATGCATAATTTAAATCACCGGTCAGCCGTATCTGAATGCCCCGTCCTTACCAGCATGGTCAATATTGAGCCGCAGGCAGCAGACGCGGAACACCCACATCTGGCTGATTACGGGTAATCCAATTTCAGAGAACAGGCCCTGCTGGAGACCGAAATATGAAGACTTCGGCACCGCGGCGGATGCGCAAGTAAGTCTCATGTTGAACGTCAATTCCTCTCAGAGCATTGGCAAAGAATTTGAAGTATCTTGAATACGAGTTGAGTTGGTCCGGGAACAAGATTAATGAAGAGCCAACCCACGCACCCGTTACTTATCCATGGACGCCGTTTGAAAATGGACACCGCTGTTGAGCGCTGTTGAATTACCTTGATCGAAGTTGAGCATAGTTGAGTGATGAATGGGCTCAAACGAGGCAGCCAACCAACGTTTGAACTCCGGTCCAGACGGCCAATAGGGATTATGAGTGCTCCATTCTGAGAAACGCTCACTGGATAGGGATTTCACACGGGACAATCGAAACGAAAATTGATTTTTGAGACAACTGACAGCACGGCATCCCTCGAATTTTATGAACGCCGAAGTTCGAACGGCGTTTTGTCTGTTGGAATTCGTGCACCTCGGGGTGGTCCGTCCGGGGGGCGCGGTGTCATCTGAGCCACTCGGCATGGGAGAGCCGCTCGGTTGCTGGCAGCTAGCGTGCAGTACTAGGGGGCCGGCGCAACTTCGGTCAAGGTGTCTTCCGAAGCAGCACGGGCCCGACCGGTATGTAGTCAGAGGGAAGAATCTGGAGGCCCCGAGGCAGCTGATGCCGGAGCAATATCGTTCAAGTTCACTGGGATGGAGGCAGCGTGTGAGTGTGCAAGAATAGGTTATTAACGATGCCGTTAAAGTGCAACGGTCTGAGTGGAGAGCTGTGGAGCCTGCAGAAACTCGTACTACGCAGAATTGCAACAGGCCGGAAAGCACAAGAAAAGCACGTCCTGGCCGCTCCTGTCTTTGCGGTCCGCCTCGCCCGCCGATCTTGGCGGCCAGTAGCGATCAATCGCGCAGATCAACGGCCAGCTGCCCTTGCCAGGCACGGTCATTGTGAATGTCGTCCGTCCAGGTCCAACGTCAAAGCCAGCTGCTGAGCGTTTCCATCCACCTACCACTCTGAGGGTAGGATGCGCTGCTTCGCCTTCGCCCTGCTTGCCCTAGCTGCGTCCGTGCCAGCGCCCTACGTCGCAGCTAGGCTTCCACCTCTCGCGCCTCCTCTCACCCCCCTGTCCCCGCGCACCGGCACTCCGCTGCTCCTCCCGCGGGACAAGCGGGCTATGACGACACACACGACTGTCACGACCACTATCCAGACGACGATCCACACGACATCCACGACGCATACGACGACGACGACCACCCTACATTTGAGCTCGAGCAGCTCCCCGACCCAAATTTCGACGACGCAACCGACGGCGTCTGGAAAATCTAGCAGCAATCCTGCTGGTACCACACCGGCGCCAAGCGGTAGCGGTAGCGGCAGCGGCAGCGGGAGTCGCGCTGCATCGACACCGAGCACTCGCAGCCTCAGCGCGTCAGGGGCGAGCAGCTCAAGCTCCGCTCTCTCGGCGCCGCAGAATACGACCAGCGCCAGCACCGGCACGAAACGACCCTCGCACACCGCCGCGATAGTCGGCGGCGTCGTGGGCGGCGTCGTGGGCGGCGTCGTGGGCGGCGTCGTGGGCGGCGTCCTAGCGCTCCTCGCCCTCCTCGCTGCCGCGCTGCTGCTCCTGAGACGACGCCAGGCTGGCGCGCCGGATACGGGGACCGAGAAGGGGACGCAGCCGCTGCCGATCTACAATAAGTTCATGACGCAGGCGCGGGCGTGGGGAGCTGCTGCGCCGGCGGGGGCTGCGGGTGCGAGCGCGGCGGCGTTGCATGGGCACGGATACCCGGGGAGTGGGACTTCGCATGGGCCAGCAAGTAGCGTCAGCGCAGAGTACGACCCGTATGCGGAGGTCGCGGGCTGATGGTTTAGACGGGATTGAGCAGCGAACCCCGGACGAACGCTCGGTGCGACAATGCTGACCTGCTTCGCTGCGAGCCCTTCGACGCGATGCACGTGTGGACACACATTGAAAATATCCGTGTGCATGAGATGGCGAAGGAGCGGATGGGCATTTTGAATGTCGGTACGAGCGTGTACTACGCTCCTCCTGCGCTCTCGCACGACTGAATCGCTGATGTAACCTTGTCTATTCATCGACATAGACAGCAGACAGTAATGATAATAAATACCTCTAATGATTCTGGATACCCACATCTTTGTGTCGACAAGGAATCTGTAAATGGTGTGAGAGGCTGTACGCGTTTGAGTGAGTTGGGGTCCTTTCCTTCCATTCGCCCATTGTCTGGTCCGAGGAAGCAGAGCGGAACCTCGCCGGTACATAATCCGCGG